CGGCTGCCTCCTGCACGCCCCTTACTGGGGATCAAGCCTGAAACCAAGGCACATGCCCTGACCTGGAATCAAACCAGGACCTCTCAGTCCATGAGATGACACACAATCCACTGAGCCACACCAGACACACTGGCTGGGCAGTTTACCATATTTTCAGATTCCTTCTGCAATATCATTAGAATGGGAGAATGGAAAGCTGAACAAATGTGACTGCCATCCACCATCTCTGGACGGATTCCTATACTGGAAAGGTCATTCATCAGCTTTCAGAAATTCCAATAAATCAAGAGATGATAATTAGGATATACTGAACTGAATCCCAGAAGTGTTAAAGTGTTCTATTCTGTTCTTAGGAAGAGGGAAACATCAACACTCAAGATCTCTCTGTGTGCTAGGCACAGTATTTCTATATGGTCCCTCTGATACTGGATCAAAAATATAAACATCCACATCTGCTGTTAAAACATAAATGACCCCCATCAAAAAAATGTAAAGACTATTTAAAATTTGCTTGTGTAATTACTTAGCTATTAATAATTCATATAACTTACCCCCAGTTCTAAATGCTTAGCTATCAACCTTTTTGGTAGGAAATTCTTGCAAAATTTAATTTAAATATAATAAAATTTGTAAATACTGTACTGAATTTGGCTGAATGAAAATGCCATCGTGTCACACTTTGCAGATATTTTATTGTTATTAAGTCATTTTCATTTAGCGGTTTTCTTTTCCAGAAAACATTTTCCCATCAAGACTGACTACAGTACCTTTTGGACAAAACAGTCCTGAAAGATGTGGGGCCAATTCTTCTTTCTCCAAGGGTTTCCTCTAGGCACCCGCAATAGCTCACACTGACTTTTATTATGGCACTTGATCATGGCCTGTATTACTACTATCCATGTTATTCATGTGTGCTGAAAACACAAACTATTCATCTTAGCAGTACCAGAAACCGTCTCCAAAACTTAGAAGGTCCTTAAAGGTTGATTCCTAGAAATTGGGTCATACCCATCCTCCCTGATATCCTGGCCAAAAACCAAGCCGTAATGATGCTGGCCTCCCATTCACAGCAAGGACTAAAAGTTGAGTGACTTTCTGTTTTTATTTCAAATTTACTTCTAAAGAGTTATCACCACCTGGCTTCTCTATGACCTGGTGATGAAATCCAGATACCTCTCGGCCTAGAAAACTCACGACCCGCGAGGCCTCTGGGCCTTGTCCGCGGACCCGAATCCGCCAACTCCAGGCGGCGAGGGAACCCCCGGGCCGGAACTCGAGCGCGAAAAATGGTCGCAGACAGCGGCGGTGACGCGCGCCGAGAACGCGCAGCCCGCGGCGACCGGGCGCGGCTCCGACAACGGGCGGGCACGCCCACTGCCCAGTGCGAAGTAGACCCCGAGGAGCGCACGGCCGCGCCCCGCCCCTGCCTACGCCCCTCTCGCTAGGTCTCGCGCGGACACGCGCCTGGCTCCGCCCCCGAGCCTAACCGGCCGCGCGCCCCTAGCCCGAGCAGGGGCGAATGGGTACTTACTTGTGGAAAGAAACAGGCTTATCCTTGTCGTATCGGTTCTTGCAGCCGTAGGCGGAACAGGACTGCACCATCCTTCCGGTCCTCAGTCGTTTCACTTCTGCCGCCCAGCAGGCAGGTGAAGCTGTTACCAATGTCGCTGCTCTCGGCTTTGACACCCTCGCTTCTTCTGCAGCTTTGGCCAACAACTACAGTGATGATAGTCTCAATCTTGGGTGCCTAAAGTGCCCGTTTTGTTTGCATCAGCAGAAGGACCACAACCACCTCCCGTCTCCCATCTCCAAGATGGCGGAGGCAGCTTCAACCTCACCTCTCGCGAGGAGTTCGTCTAGCTCACTGTGATTAGCTTTGAGGTCAGAAATAACGTTTCCTGGGAAGCAGGCCATTGGCTGAGGCCCCACGTGTGGTGCGGCGGGCTCAGCGTCGCGGAAGTGGGCGGGCCTTCGACCTTCCGGAAGGGAGAAAGGAACTGCTTGGGAGAGGAAGCGAGGGGAGTGGAGCTTAGCTGTAGGGTTAGGGTCCGTTGCCGGTGTTTTTCCTGGCTTAATTTATCAGGGGCGGTTTAGCAAGGAGAACAATACGGTCTGTTGTGTCTGCTGGCTTAAAAGATGACAGGTGTAAAGCTAAGGTCGTTGGGTTATTGCGACAGTTTCTTTAAAAGGGCGGCCACTGATCATAAACCCAAATGCCCATTAATAGTTGAATGTATAAATTGTGGTGTAGTCTTACTCTAGAGCAGTCAAAACAGAGAAGCTATGACCCATACACTATGGACGGGTCTTACATAATGTTGAATAAGTCCGACAATATATACTACATGATTCTGTTTTTTTTTTTGTAGAATAATAACGTAGGCAAAACAAGTCAGAAGGGGTGACTTTTTCGGAGACAGGCAATGAAGGGGAACTTATGGAATGGTGGTAATGTGCCTTTTGACTGAAGTGATAGTTAAAATAAACTGTTCACTGTATGATAATCATGACCTTTATTGACTTATAAAATGTTTGATGTTTGTTCTACTTTCATAAAATAGCTTATTAAGCAAACAAGGGCCACCTAAGATATGCAAAACTGCCCTTTTTAGAGAATATGTTTATATGCTCCTTTGATCTCATTTGACCCCTTAAATAAATATAAAAAATAAATATACGTCTTAGTTTTATATGACCATTTGAAGGAAAGACAAATAGGGATAAACTGAAGAAGGGTAGTTAGAAGTTTGATGTTTTTCAAAGTCTAATTCATTTACTATTATAACACTTTTTAAGGGAAAAAAATGTAAACCTTGACATTAAAAGAGAAAGTTTCGTAACAGTTATTGTAGTATAATCTTTATCTTGTTTGATAGACTGAAGAAAAGTAAGCCACTTGTTTTGACATAAAGGACTACGGGCTAAAGATTTTTTTAAAACTCATATTAACAGTTTAAATTTTAATTTCTATCCAACTATGCTTTTTTTCTATAAACAATTTTTATTTTAATCCTCACCTGAGGACATTTTTTTGTTTGTTTTTTTTTGTTTTGTTCAGTTAGAGTGAGAGGGAGAGAGAGACAGAGAGAGAAACATCGACATGAAAGGGACACATCAAGTGGCTGCCACCCGCACGACCAGCCAGGGCCGGGGACAAACTGCAACCGAGGTACATGCCCTTAGCGGGAACCGAACCCGGGTCTCTCTGGACCGCAGGCTGACGCTCTAACCGCTGAGCCATACCAGCCAGGGCTAAACAATTTTTATTTTAAAAAATACCATTATATTCATTCTCTCTGGTCCTCCTTTATCTTTATCTGTGAAATAAGGATGTAGAACTAAATAAGGAATTCCTAATTTGGAATCCATGAATGTTTAAGTCTTGAATCCCCTGAAAAAGAAAAGTATACATACATATGTATACATGCATTATTCTGGGGAGCTACTTATGGTTTTCATAGAGAAAACACAAACACTAGCCAATTTGTAAGGACCCTTACATCTAATATTACAGGATTAGTGAAACAAGATTAAATTTCATGTAGATGTAAATTATAGGTTTTCTCTAAGACCAATTAGAAGGGTGAATGTTTTGAACTGAGTATCAGGTTATCTTTAAATAGTTTTTAAAAGTTTTGTGGTTTTATTTATTTATTTATTTTATTTTTTCTCCTCACCCGAGGACATTTTTTTTGTTGTTGTTCAGATAGAGTGGGCGGGAGAGAGAGGAAGAGAGAGAGAAAAATCGACGTGAAAGGGACACATCGAGTGGCTGCCACCCGCACGACCAACCAGGGCCAGGGACAAACTGCAACCGAGGTACGTGCCCTTAGCGGGAACCGAACCCGGGTCTCTCCAGACCGCAGGCCGACGCTCTAACCGCTGAGCCAAACCGGCCAGGGCAAAAAGTTTTGTGGTTTTAAACAAATTAAAATCTAATATATGATTAAACAAATTAAAATCTAATATATGATACCAGTGAGTTTAAAACATCTTTAGTCCTTAGCCCTTTTCTACGTCCCGTATTACATTCCCCTCATCGCTAAATACCTAGTCCGATAAAGAGAATAAGGAAAGTATCCAAACATGCTCAGTGTTTTCTAACAGCATTTACTCTTCTCGTGCACCAGTCTGGGATATGGAACCAGTCAGAGGATACAGATGGATGAAGATGACAGTGGTTGATAACATCTCAAATTTGCTTGCAGTCAAGGACTCTGTGCTTAAAACAAATGTTGATGCCATGAAAATGGTCTGGTTCTGACAGAACAACAAAATCTCAGTGATTGTTTTTTATCTAGGTGATTGTCAGCAGCCCTTAAAGCCTACTGGCCTGGTCGTGGGAGACAAGTGTTAGGGCCTTCAAACTTTGAGTGCCCTTTCCTGTTCCGACCTAGTCCTAGATTTATGGGTTACTGTTCAGCAAAACAGAAGAGCCTGGAGTATATTTAGTGTTTCAGAGTGAAGGGAACAAATGTTGATGCAGACATAAGGGCACAGACACAGAAAAGCTCATTTCAGTTATCAGATACACTCAGTTATCAAATATGCACTCAAAAGAAATAGGGCAGTGGACATAGACAACAACACTGTGAAGGTGGGGTGGGGAGATGGGAGTAGAGAGGAGGTTGTCAATGGGGGAAAAGGCAGGACATCTGTAACAAAAATAAACTCCAGCATCATAAAAAAAAAAAAAAATAGGGGTAGAAAATCAGGGTACAGGCCTAATCTCTAATTTCAATTCCACCCTTCTTGTCCAGAATTAATATAGATTACCCAGATTAATTTTCCTCAAAAATAAAAACATTTCTACTTTTTAAGTTTAAAAACATCTAAAGAAAATTAAATAGAATTGTGATGAGATATTGCATGTCCATTAATGAAAAAGAAAGCCATTGCAAACACATTAAATGCTATTTCAGGGGTTCTGAATTTTAAAGCAAACTATCAAAGAAACAGGAAAATAACAGCTACTTTTTAATTTCAGATATGTTGATTTTATTCAAAAGAATAAGTGTTTGACAAATTCTTAAATCACAAAGTTTGAACCAAGCCGTCAATCCTGTGTAACAACTCTGTGAGGTAGGTATCTGCGCAGCCACAGGGACCAACACAGTCCTTTCTTCCCCTGTTGCTTTCAGGCGCTGCGAACTGGTAGCTGAAACCACTGTTCTTGTGGGCAGTGAGAACAGTTGTTTCCTCCATCTTGTTTAACCATAGACCTGCCTGAGTTACCTGCTCCTAAGGTTGGACCATCTTTTTGTGAAAGTTACAATATTATTGTTTACAGAAGTCCAAAATTGTTGCTTTACTTATATGATCTCACTCTGAATTACAGAAGTATTACTATGTTTAAAACACTGATTGACTCGACTTGCTTTAAATATTTTCTCAGATACCATCTACATTTATTATTAGAGATCAATGCAGATGACATAATAAGCAGTCTAAAATTCTGAGATATCCACATGTTCCCTTTTCAATTTAATAAGACTTCAGATCATAGAGTGTTTTTGTATGTTGGAAAAGTTGGTACAATACACCAGGAAAGTCTTATAAGGAATTCCAACTATTACAATGAAATTATTATAACTAGAAATGTGACACTTGAAGCAGAACGTATGCACAGAAAATGAAATCCTTTCAAAAATGACATTGGGATATAGCCCACACCCAATTTGTACTTGGTAGGAAATGCATTTCTATTCTGGTGTAACAAACTCCTATCATTAATACTTTTCAAGTTGGTAAGTGCAGCTGAATTTTTTTGTGTGAAGTATGTCACCCAATTAGACTTTTTATTTGGAAGTACAGAATTATTCATAAAGTCTTGATATGTCATCTTTCTATAATTTTCCTTTTAGCAGCACCTAAGCTATCCTACTCCATTGTGTTCCAACAAACTCTAAGGACCCCAGTTTCTCTCCACCTTCACCCCTTGGTAATAACCTTCACATTTATGTGAACCCATGCAAGAGTCCTACTGAGTCTAATACCAGTTCAATCACTTATCTGTGCATGACTTCAGACAAAAAAACCCTGTCATTTGTCACACAGGGATGTCACCTATGAAAAGACAATGCCCTGCCTTATTCACATACTGTCTTAAGGATAAAATGAAAAGTATGTAAGAGTTGCTTTAATTATAATGTGCTATATTTAAGCATTATTATTTATCTCTAAGCAACAGCTTTGTCCTAGGCCCAAATTAGAAAACACTGTTATTGATATTTTATTCAGCATCTTATTAGTTTATGGCTAATTTGATTAACTTGAGAGACTGTGACAGATTTGTTCTTTTTCTGCCTATCTATATACATAGTGAGGCTCACTAATATATTAATGGACATGACTATCCATGACTGCAGGTGACAGAGCTAATGCCCCTGGGTGTTGATGCACTGCTGTCCAATTTGCTAATGAGCAGCGCCTGCTGAGGGAGTTAGGATTTCATAATACTTGTGGTTTGGGTTCTTCTCAAACAGAAAACTGCTGTAGCCATTAAATAAACCAAGATAACTTTCCTATTGAATCAACTCTGACTTTTGCTCATTTCTGCATAAAACCTGATAAATCTGGGCTATCTGCTGCCATCTAGGGACAGTACTACACGTTTTCTGTCAAGAGAAAATAACCAAATTCATACATTCTGTTACTCTAGCTCACCAGTAATTTTGTCAAATTTAAAGTGTTCCTAGTACCCTCCTAAGGTCTTTGATGCTCAAGCTATGAAGAACCACTTTCCTCAGATTGCATCAAACTACTGCGTGTTTGCAGTATCACCCAGGTTTCTGAAAAAAACATTCCTTATACAGGTTCCTATAAAAGGACCAAACACTTGTTTAAATGCCATAACTGAGAACATAAGTGTGCTGACTGGAGATAAATGCCTTACATTTTGTTAATTCTTCTAGTATTCTATAAACCAGAATGTGAAATCAGATTATAAAGGTCAAGTTTCTTCGTTCACTTTCAGGTAACAGCTAAGACATATCAGAATGGAAAAGCAGAATTGCTCCAAATGCACAAAACTTAGCTAGTACTAAAAGAAACAATAACTTTTTTTTTTTTAAGAAACAAGAAGTTTTCCCCAATATTGTGCAATACTTTATTGTAACAAAAATATTTAGATGCATCTCATTATAATATATTATCATATAGGTACTCACTGAGAAGGAAAAATTGGATAAAGTATACATTTAACAATATCTTACTATACATCCAATTAATCTGAGTGATTTTGGGGAAAAGAAAAAGATATTTAAAAGCATCCCTTTTTATATAATTCCATGTATTTTTTCAGAGACTTTATAGACAACACAATCAAGATACAGTTATAATTATTATAATTGTAACCTTAATATTAGAACCTGCAATGTGTAAAAATTCCAGTTATATATTGCTAGGTATTTGCCAAATGATAATCAAATGTTTGTTATACAGTGGTTTTAAGTTTGTAAGATAATTTTCAAATGCTTTATACTACCATGGTCCTTTTTGATTTCACACATTAATTCATATTTTAGTAAAGTCTTTTTTTTTCACCTGTTTAGTCTCTGTGTTATCACTTCTCGATACATAATAGAGATGTAGATAAGCAACAAAAAGATGACAAAGAAATCATCTAAAAAGCCTAGAATTCCAAACAAGGCTTCAGGTACAAAATCCAGAGGTGATATAAGATAGAAAAAAGCTCCCATTAAACAAAGTATTATCCTGATACGGAACATCCAGAAAAGGCCCCCGACTGAAAACATTTCCCTGAATGCATGTCTCAGTAAAGTGGGTAGATCCATAATTCTTTCCATAATCTGGTAGGAGGAAGAACAAATATTATGATTTGGTATCTAATGTGTCAGACTTACAAATAATACAATTTTCTTACAGCAGGCAGACAAACTGAGTTAACAAGACAATGGAGTTCTATATATTGAATGAACATCATATTTTTCTAGTTATCCATTTTACTTAAAAATAATCCTTTGATTATTAGGTTCTTATAAAATAGGTCTTATTGCAGATAATTGAAAAGCGACTAAAATGTCAACAAACTTAAAATATAGGACATAACATAAAACTCAAGTTATCTCTAATTTGAGTTAGTAAACTAAATGAAGAACCTAATTTGAGTTAGTAAACTAAATGAAGAACCTACCATATAGGATTAGAGTCTGAGGCTTGAGCTCATCTCAGCTTTAAAGTCAGACAGATCTGGGTTTGAATTCAAAGTCAATCACTATTAGCTAGGTGACCTTGGGGAAAGTTGCTTAACCTACCAGAGATAAGTCAGCAACTAATTAAGGATTTTTATGTACCATGGGGAGTTTCAAAAAGTAAAAGGGATATTGTATGTAAATGACCTTTATAAATTGCCAGACAATATATAAGTATTACACATTAAAGACAATTCAAAGTTAATGGCTTTGACAGTCTAAGAATAGCAACAAAACTGATCCCTTCTTAAGATGTTTATTCTGCTTAGCTTGAGTATAAGTGAATTACTAATTGCTACAAAGAGTTTTGGAATGCCAAGGCCTACTTTTCTGAAAATAGATTAAGTTTCTGAGTACATACAGAAACACACATCAACCACTAGGTTTTTACAAAAGTGAGCATAGTTTTCACAGCTGAAATTTAACAAATGACATAAATTTTTAAAAATTAAAGGATATGGAGAAATTGGAACCCTCATACACTGTTGGTGGGAATTTAGAGCCCATTAGGAGACAGTCTGGCAGTTCCTCAAAATGTTAAACAGAGTTATTATAATATCCAGAAACTACACAAGGAGGCATATACCCAAGAGGAATGAAAACAGGTCCATACAAAAACTGGTACATGAAACTGGAAGCATAATTTATAATAGCCAAAAAATGGAAACAATTCAAATGTCCATCAACACATGAATGGATAAACAAAATGTGATATAGTATTAGGCTAAAAAAAAGGAATAAAGTATTAGCATAGAGAATATAGTCAATAATATTCTAATAACTATGAAGGCAGATTGGGGTGATCACTTTGTAAGTTATATAAATGTATAATAATTATGTTGGACATCTGAAATTAATATAACATTGTATGCCAACTATAATTGAAAAATAAAAACAAAAGCAAAAACTACAACAAAAAAAAGCAATGAAGTACTGAGTTATGCTACAACATGGATGAACCTTGAAAACATTATGCCAAGTGAAATAAGCCAAAGACAAACAGCCATATATTGAATGTATGATCTCATTCGAATAGAATAGATCTCTAGAATAGCAAATCTAGAGAGATAGAACATTAGTGATTGCCAAGGACTGGGGAGAGGAGAAGGGACTGAGAAAATGGGAAGGCACTGCTAAAATTATATGATGGTGGTAATTAGATTATATTTACTCTAAATATACTATAAATCATTGAACTGTATACTTTAAAACAGGTGTACTTATTGCATGTAAATTACATCTAAATAAAGCTATTAAGACGATCTCAGTATCTACATGGTGGGGCAAAAGTAGGTTTACAGCTGTGAGTACATGAAATAGAATTTATTCTTGTATTATTATTTATTAATTATTATAGTTTCCATACGAATAATTGTAAACCTACTTTGCCCCACCCTATATTTGTATGACCTTCAGCAAGTCAGTTTATTATGACTGAAAACTCAGTTGTTTTATATAGGTATTAGTTGACTATATGATCTAAGGTCCTGTGTATTAATGACCTACCATGACTATTCAACTTAACTTACTCCATTATCTTATTACTAAGGGGTTGGTACATGTAAGAAAAATTGACCAGAGGAAGTAAATCACTTCCTGTGTCATTCCACTGCCTACAGTTCAGCTATTTTTAACAATCTGTATATCATAAATCCAACTCTAAGTATATATTTGTTTAACAAGTACCAAATAAATTGAGAAGGAGATGGAGACCAAAATGGGAATAATTCAGCAAATGATGAGAGAAGATTTTAAAACACCAGATAGAGAAAGTCTTGTAACTCGTTTTGGAAAACTGGTCACAAAAGAACAAAAATGGTCTTTTTAGAATCACTTCCTATGTTAATTTTCTATTCTCTATGGAAGAAACTAAATATACTATACATCATTGAATTGTATACTTTAAAATAGGTGTACTTATTTAAAGCAAAACAGCTATTCAGTTTTTACAAGATCTAAGGTAAATTACTTTAAATATTCTAAAAGAATACTTTCCCATCCGTTATCAGAGCTATTTTTCAATGCTCATATGGTATCATACAAAATTTGTAACTAGACAAGAAATATGAAATGAGTTACTAAGAAATGTTTGTATATTAATCACAATCATACTCCAAGTTTGAATCAGGTAGTATCAAAGTAAGAGCTAAATGTCTTTATTATTTTGTCATTTCATCACATACCAAGCTTTCTTACTCATTAGATATATATCTGACACAAAAAAATAAGAATTGAGCAATGGTATACTTTATACTTAAAAATATGAATATCTTAAAATGATTTCTTTTTAAGTCCAGTGGTAGTTCTTAAATTTGAAACATTGATCTTCAAAGAATCATCGTATAGGTGTCAGTGGAGGACATGTTAAAAAAAAATGCTGGATCAAAAATAGCAGAAGAGGCTCCCAAGTAACTATGGAGGACTAGGGTGATTGGATTAAGCTTTTCTCGTTTCTTTTTTTTTTTTTTTTTTTTTTATCCTCACCCGAGGACATTTTTCCAGTTTTTGTACAGACAGAGTGGGAGGGAGAGAGGAAGAGAGAGAGTGAGAAACATCGATGTGAAAGGGACACATCGAGTGGCTGCCACCCGCACGACCAACCAGGGCCGGGGACAAACTGCAACCAAGGTACATGCCCTTAGCGGGAACCGAACCCGGGTCTCTCCGGACCGCAGGCGGGCGCTCTAACCGCTGAGCCAAACCGGCCAGGGCTCGTTTCTTAAACATCTAAAAGATTTACCCATTATCATTCACAACAGATGAAACTGTATACCTTTAAATGTTCATGACACTACAGAATAAGGAATATGAGCAAGGGAACACAAGAGCACACAGTTGTTTATGACTAAATCATTTTAATAGCTTATATCCTTTTTTAAATCTCACCCAAGGATATGTTTTTATTGATTTTTAGGGAGGGAAGGAGAGGGAGACAGAGAAACACTTATCAGTTGCCTTCAGCATGTGCCCTGACCAGGGATCGAACCTGCAACCTAGGTATGTGGTCAGACTAGGAATCAAACCGGAAAACTTGGTATTCGGGATGATGCTCCAAACTGAGCAACCCAGCCAGGGCAACAGCTTATATTCTTGGCTGGGAGTAGTAGTATCACTTCTTAATTTAAGGATAATTCATTCATTTTTCAATAAACATTAAGGGCCTGCTGTATCCCAGACACTGATTTTCACAATGAGAATATACTACTGAGTAAATAAACACAGTCCTAGCTGTTCATGACGCTTTTAGTCTATGGAGAGAAAGACAACAAACGATTTGAGTGCTGTTTGTGACAAACACTCTGAAGGAAATGTATAGAGGGCAATGATAGAGAATACCTTAGTTGTCAGGGAAAGCCTCTGGAGGAGGGTCTATTTAAAAACTACCTAAAGGATGAGAAGTCATCCATGAGGAGACTAGAGGGATGAGCATTCCAAACAAGAAATGGCACATGTGAAGGCATTAATGTGGATAGACTTGGAGCTATTCTGAGAGCTGAAAGGAGGGCAGTGTAGCTGAAGTATGGTGAAGGAGAGGGAGAATGACCCAAAAGGTTAAGGAGGAAGGGAGGGACCAGGTCACGCAGCGCCTTGGAGTTGGAACGTTATTCCAAAAAATTGCAAGTTTAAAAAAAAAATGTTTTGATTTTTTTTTTTTAAGAGAGAGAGGAAGGGAGAGAGATAGAAACATTGATGTGAGAGAGAGACATCGATCGACTGCCTCCTGCACACCCCCTACTGGGGATCAAGCCGGCAACCTGGGCATGTGCCCTCACCTGGAATCGAACCAGGACCTCCATGGGATGACATTCAAATCCACTGAGCCACATCAGCCAGGCAAAAAATTTCAAGTTTTAAAACACAAAAGCATAATGGTCTTACTTATGTTTTCAAAATATTACTCAGGCTGCTAATCAGAGAAAAATGTCAAAGTGAAGAGGCTACGGCAATTGTCTTAAGCAAGAGATGATGGTGACTTTGACTAATATGGCCACAGACACAAGGCATTTTTGTGAGGTAAAAATGACAGGACCTCCACCCTAAAAAGAAAGGGTACAACTTATTTATAGATCAGATGAGGGAAATGAGGGAGAGGAGGAGCTCATAAGACAGAAAAGAGTTAACTGAGTTAGGGAGGGATCAGTTTAATATTATACATGTTAAGTTTGAGAGGTCAATGGAATATCCATGTGGAGATACAAACTAAGCAGTTGTATATATAAAGTCTAGAGCTCGGGGGAGAGGTCTCACTTTCCATATATTAAATTTGTACTTAGTATATTCTGGTGTTTGAAATACATATTCAGTCATACACACACTTCTAGAATTCTTTGTTAGATTTTGAGAAAACCTGAAACAAAAAAATGTGACAGTTTTTCATTTATCAGATGCCTTTTTTTAGGGGAAGGGTCAACTGTAGAATTAATGTTATTTAAAAGTATAATGTTTTTGAATAGCTAAGGTGACATACAGAGTTACTTAAGGGAACACTTAAAACAGGCCAGGGTAAATAACTTAGAGTAAAACACAATTGTAAAACTCTCTCCACGAGTTCTCAGTTGTAATTTTCTCATAAAATAAACCCTATTTTAGAACCATGTAGGAGTTGATCATTTTATATTTCCCTCCAATTTGTCCTATTGCTCTTTTGCTGGTATCTCTTTCATGAAATACTTTTGCAATGCCCTTTTTTTTTTTTTATCCTCACCTGAGGACATTTTCATTTATCTTCAGATAGAGTGGGAGGGAGAAAGGGAGAAAGAGAGAGAAACATCGATGTGAGAGAGACACATCGATGTCTACCCCAAACAGGGCCGGGGACAAACTGCAACCGAGGTATGTGCCCTTAGTGGGAACCGAACCCAGGACTATCTGGTCCACGGGCCGATGCTCTAACCACTGAACCAAACCGTCCAGGTGCATTGCCTTCTTTTTAAGATAGAAAAACCGCAGTCCTGGGGAAAGCTTAACTCAGTGAGTGCCAACAGCAATGAAAGTAAAAACTTGACCCAGCACACATAAACAATGAGGGTTTTCATAATCAAACAGTATTTGTTGTTAAATCACACTTTACTAAAGACAAGTATCATTATACTTTAACTCTGTTCCCTCTAACTCTGGACCTTCTATAACGTTACTTACAGATCTGGGCTGCCCTGAGAATCTCCGGTTATAATCATTAATATCTTGATACAATGGTACAACATCCTGAGACTGGTCGTTTTCACCAAATACTGGTAGCAATAAAGTTACCTATATATTACAGAAAAAAAAAAAAAACTGTTATACCTTTGCGCAGCACTAGTTTTTTTCATTTTATGTTAATAAATCAAGAAAAGCTTCTGCATTTATATTTCACTCATTTCCTTTAATAAAGGCAACACAGGGGAGGAAAGTAAGATTATTGTCTATAATAAAATCCAACGTAAAATGTATTTTAACATCTATAACATAAAATGGGCACCTTATCCAAACACTGGTTCTAATGTTTTCCAGTCCACACCAAGGAGAAAATCAGTAGTTCTCTATAGTTGAATAATGGGAAAAAATGCAGGAGCAAAGTGATGTAAAAATATGTATCTATCACTTTGAGAGAGAAAAACATCTCTTTTTTGATTAAAATCATGATTTCTTACCCTCACTGGTATTTGAAACATCTTTGAATATTATCAACCATAATACAGAGATTACCTTAGTTGAAGGACTGGCTCTCAAGCACCTAGCCCTACTATAATCAAAAAAGGTAACTCTTGATACTATTATATAACATAACACATTTAAACCCATTTTCCTCCATGGTAGAGGTGAGGATACACAAATGTCCCAGGACTACATTTGGGTAACTTGAAGATGACAGGCCTTGAAAACCCCCAATAGAAATGGTCACTATACAATGAGATGAAGATGGGAAGGAATAATGACAGATTTATATTTGAATCATCTAGCTGCTGTTTTGTTTTTTCCAGAGAGACAGAGAGAGAGAGAAACATCAATCAGTTGCCTCGCATACCCGCCAACCAGGAATTGAACCCGCAAACTTTTGGTGTATGGGACAATACTCCAACCAACTGAGCCACACCGGCCAGGGCTAGCTGTTGTTTTTGTCCCTAGCTGTAAACCAGGTTTCCCACTTCTCAGATACTCTCCAACAGCTAAACAAAGGAGTGGCTAATAGCAGTCGGTAGTAGGAAGAACAGGTACTGCTACCTCTTCACAAATTTGTTAATAAAAGTGCATTCTTTAAATAAATACTAATTGAACATCTACTGTGAGCAAGAAACTAAGTGCTTGATATACCAAAAAAATGAAGACATAGCCTTGCCCATTGGCGATCATAGTCCCCAAAGTAGAAGGGGAGGCAGACCTGTTCAACAGCCTATTCTAAGGCACTGTGGTTGGTGTTACAATGATGCTTGAAAGTAAGAACTTCTCCCTGGAATGTCCAGAAAGCTTGAAACTTAAGCTAGCCCTTGAAACACAGGCACGACCATTGGGGTGTTAGTGTATGCATTCACAAAGGGAAGTGGTGAGCATGTTCCAGTGAGAGGCATCAGCCTGTGCATTATTATTTCCAGTGAAACAGGAAGTAAGGCAGGTATCTGCCACCTGTCTTACCTCCAGGATGAATTACTCTACAATTAAAAAACCAAAAGCTATTTTATTAAAACAACCTTGTCTCCACCTTTCTAGCCTTTAGCCAATCTGCAGGTGGTCCAAAGGATACAGCCTGGTAATGTATATATATCCTATGAAAAGCCAGGAGTAGTGAAACTAATTCTTTAATGCAGGACCTAGGGCCTGGTCTCAGTGTGGCTGGCCGATTGCTAAAGACGATGAGAGGTGGTAGTGGCAAATAAGTTTCAGTGTTGACAGCTTTGTGCTGCATATAAAATCATCCAGAGAGGCAGTACAAAAACCCACAGATTTCCCCCCTGACCATATGATAAAGTCAAATGTGAAAGAGAGAATTTGGGAATGTAGAAGGAAGAAGAAAAGAACAGAAAGCTCTGAACCTCCCCCTATACCAAAAAAGAAGGCAGTGACGGGGGGAAGTAGGCAGCTAGAACAAAGGCTGAAAAGTATACAGGAGTGGGCAAAAGGTTTACAGTTGTGAGTATATGAAACACAGAGTTTATTCTTACATTATTATTTATTAATTGTATTATTTTCCATACGAACACCTGTAAACCTACTTTTGCCCACTCCTGTATAACAGTGTGTGTGTGTATTTAACATACATACCATATGGTTTTACTTATATAAAGTCCAAAAATCAGGCAAAACTAAATAATCTTAGAGATGTATGCTAAGGTAATAAAACTATAAAGAAAATCAAGGAAATGCTTATCATAAAAGTGAAATAGTGCCCTGGCCGGTTTGGCTCAGCGGTTAGAACGTTGGCCTGCGGTCCAGAGAGACCCGGGTTCGGTTCCCGCTAAGGGCACATACCTCGGTTGCAGTTTGTCCCTGGCCCTGGTTGGTCGTGCAGGTGCAGCCACTCGATGTGTCCCTTTCACATCGATGTTTCTCTCTCTCTCTCTCTCTCTCTCTCTCTCTCTCTCTCTCTCTCCTTCCCTCCCTCCCACTCTATCTGAACAAAAAATGGAAAAATGTCCTCAGGTGAGGATTAAAAAAAAAAAAAGTTAAATAGAAGTTACATATAGGAGAGGAAGGAGGGGTGAAGATTTGGTAGGGGTCCTAAGGAAGCTTCTGGGGCTGTTGGCCAATTTGTTTCTTCACCTGAGCAATGATTACTCAAGTGTTGCCTTGTGCTAATTCAATGACGTGTACTTCTTTGTGTCGTGTGCTTTTCTGTGTTATATTTTACAAAGACTTTTTGAAAAATTGTCACCACCCCTATCATTTTGTTTTATTTTTTGGCCTCTGTGGGTTTATGCCTTTACACAATATCCTTTACTATTGCTTTAGTGGGGTTGCAAGGAGTAAAAGTAAATATACGCATCCAATTTCACATCTTTACTTGGAAACTGTCCTTAAAAAGGAGTTTATTTTGCGTACTGAAAGACTTCCTAAGGAGATGCTATGGTGTCTTTTTACATGTTCATAACTCATTATCAGAAAGGTATATATTTTTATTATAAGTGGAAAATAAAATAACTATAAAGGAAATTATGAAAAACTATACATAACCAAGAGAATATACTATTTTGTTATATTTACTAATGAAAAAACTAAGAACTTCAGTTTCTCAGATTTTTCAGTATATTGCTTTTTCCAGTTTGTCAAAGAAACAAAATCTGGCAATCCCATCTGTGCTGACATTTCAGTCTTCAACATAGGTTTATAAAAACTTACTGCCTCCCTCCTGAGGGAGCTTCTAGACCAGTGGTTCTCAGCCTGTGGGTTGCGACCCCTTTGGGTGTTGAACGACCCTTTCACAGGGGTTGCTTAAGACCTAACAGTAGCAAAATTACAGTTATGAAGTAGCAATGAAAATAATTTTATGGTTGGGGGTCACCACAACATGAGGAACTGTATTAAAGGGTCGTGGCATTAGGAAGATTGAGAACCACTGTTCTAGACTAACTATAATGGTCAAACCTGTTCTGGATAATTCAATATTTCTAGGTTTCCAAAAAAGACATTTTAAAAAATTATTCTTTATGTAAAGCTATCTGGACCCTCACTGGAGCAGGACAGATTAAAAATAAGTTAAAAAGGAAAAACAATTTTTTTTTCAAAAGAAATATAGGGGATATTTGTTTAAACCTGATTAGCTAGTTAAGTTATTCCTTTGCTGGTATTACAACAAAGACTTTCTAGGCTTTGGGAGAGGATTCATTTACCATTTGTTTTTCCTACAACTGAAGGATTTCAAAGGGATTTCCCTTTTTTTGAAATGTCTTAAAGACATTAAAAAAAGAATGGAGTAACAGCATAGAAGCTTTGGATAAGGAAATTCTGTTAAAAATATCAAATAATTCATAAGTCAGATACAGAAACTACAAAGATTTACAAAATGAACTAGCATCAATGATGCTTTCTAGATACAAACATTACCGTTTGTCTACAGATTGGACAACTGATTGCCCCAAGCCATGATCCGTATCTCCAGTATGCAATAATGCAGGTACCTAGTGGGAAAAAAATAATTAATACTGATGTTTTAAATATCAGACAAAACTATTTAACAGTATCACCTTATTTTAAAATATATATTTTACTTCATCTAACATCTCTTCAGGTAAATTCAAATCTAATAACAATTCCCAGCTATTAAAAAATATTTTTATTTAAACTACCAGTTAAGATACAGATATTTTTAGACAACAGCAAGCATGCATTAATTGTTTTGATACTTTGAGGTGTATCAGAAAATATTGCATTTCCTATGTAAAATAAATAAAACAGTGATTAAACATCATTCTATAAGTGACACCAGCAAATCAACCTGCATTTTGTTTGAAATTTCATATATATGTTACAAAAACACAACTCCTTCCTGGCCTGTGTGGCTCAGTGGTTGAGTGTCAACCCATGCACCAAAAGGTCACCTGTTCGATTCCCAGTCAGGGCACATGCCCAGGTTATGGGCCCAATTCCCAGTGTGGGGCATGCAGGAGCAGCCAGTCAATGTTCTCTTTCATAGATGTCTCTATCTCTCTCCCTCTCCCTTCCTCCTTCTCTAAAATCAATAAAGAAAAATTATAAAAAATAAAAAGAAGTCACTTAAAAAAAAAACACAACTCCTACTTTTTTATGAGTTTAGAAAGCCAAGTTACTTAAGTGTCAATAAGAGTAATTAAGTACTGTGAAAAAAGAACCAAATTACACAAACATTACATGCTCTCTGCCCAAATAAAGTTATAATCCAGTTCAGTAACTGAATCAACTTTTGTACTGATTGAGTTTGATTTTTCTGTTTGAAGGTGTTTATGAGCAGCAAAACAGCTAATCACAGCCTAAAGGAAGATCTCAGAAAGCAGTAGGTGAGGTGAGTATAGAAGCACTACATTTTAGCCCAGTCATAAATTAAGAAGTATTTTTATTTATTTTTAATTTTTTTCTTTATTGATTTGAGAGAGAGGAAGGGAGAGGGAGAGGGAGAGAGATAGAAACATCGATGAGAGAGAACATCGATTGGCCGCCTCCTGCATGCCCCGCACTGGGGTTCAAGCCCACAACCTGGGCATGTGCCCTGACCGGGAATCGAACCGGCGACCTCTTGGTGCATGGGTCGATGCTCAACCACTGAGCCACACGGCCGGGCTATTTATATTTTTAAAAATATTTTTTCTGCCCTGGCTGGTTTGGCTCAGCGGTTGGAGCGTCGGCCTGTGGTACAGAGAGACCCGGGTTCGGTTCCCGCTGACGGCATATACCTCGGTTGCAGTTTGTCCCCGGCCCTGGTTGGTCGTGCGGGTGGCGGCCACTCGATGTGTCCCTTCACACTGATGTTTCTCTCTCTCTCTCTCTCCCTCCCTCTCTATCTGAACAGGAAGTGGAAAAATGTCCTCGGGTGAGGATAAAAAAAAAATAAATAAAAAAAAAAAATATTTTTTCTTTATTGATTTTAGAGCGGGAGGAAGGGAGAGGGAGAGATAGAAACACTGATGAGAGAGAACATCGATTGGCCACCTCCTGCATGCCCCCACTGGGAATTGGGCACACAACCTGGGCATGTGCCCTGACCAGGAATCGAATGGCAACCTCCTGGTGCATGGGTCAACGCTCAACCAGTGAGCCACACCAGCCGGGCTAAAGAAGAAGTATTTTTAAATAGTTTCTGATGTTTGAGGGTCCAATTCATTTTCCTCTCTGCAGGACACCTGTTTCTCAGACCATCCAGGACTCACTGTGAATCTAGACTAAGTGCTTCATGTCTCCCCCCTTCCTCCAGGATTTTCTCTATATTCTTACTCTTGCCTTGGCAACCTAGCTTGGCCCTCCTATATTCCTTATTCTGATTCTTCCAGACAAATAAGTGTCCAGAATTCAGAAGCAATGGCAATCAAAGTGAGAAAACCAAGGTGACACAGTTAAATCAATCAGAGGGTAGTTAAATCTTGAACTGTAATATTAATTTTAAGTACAAAAGGAATACAGAGAGGACGAATTCACTAGGATATCTTAGAGAGTAACCTGCAAAGGAGAAATGATTTGAACTTTGTAGTACAGCAAACATTTAGATAGGCAGAAATCAGTAGTGAGGACACTTCAAGTTTTATAAATAGTAAGAGCAAACGTCAGAAGCAGAAATAGATGTGAGGAGACTGGTAAGCAAAGGCTGTCCAAATTGGACATTACAGTGACTGGGGAAAACTGGTTCAATAATTTAAAGATGAATTTAAAAGCTAAACAATCTTACCTGCTATTTTCCTCCTACTCTCAGAGTGTTGTGTTAGATAATATCAAGTACTCTGAGCAATCTAATTTCACAAAGAAACTATTTGAAAGCACATCTTATTATAAATCTGTTAGTATTATTATTACCATTTGTAATGATGCCTTAGATTTATCTACTACCTTCTAATCCAAAAGTTCAATGTGTTTTGATATATATAAACTTATTTTTATTTTCATTTTAAAAATTTTCAATGTTTTTATTGATTTTTTTTAGAGAGAGAGGAAGGGAGACAGAAACATGGATATGAGAGTGAAACACTGACCAACTGCCTCCTATACACCCCGCACTGGGGATTGAGCCCACAACTGGGGCATGTGCCCTGACCGGGAATCAAACCGTGATCTCCCAGTCCATGGGACAACGCTCAATCCACTGAGCCACACTGGCTAGGCTAATTTTTAAAATTGATTTTAGAGCAGCGGTTCTCAACCTGTGGGTCGTGACCCGTTTGGGGGTCGAACAACCCTTTCACAGGGGTTGCCTAAGACCATCGGAAAACACATATTATGATGGTCTCAGGAACTGAGACACTGCTCCTCTACCCGTCTCCAGGCGGGTCTGCCCACATGCAGATACGCCCACATACAACATGAGTAACTGTATTAAAGGGTCGTGGCATTAGGAAGGTTGAGAAGCACTATTTTAGAGAGAAAGGAAGGGAGAAGGAGAGTGAGAAACATCGATCAGCTGCCTCCTGTATGTACCATGACTGGGGATCAAACCTAAAACCTTGGCATGTACCCTGACCAGGAATCTAACCTGAGACCCTTCAGTGCATGGGACAAAGCTCCAATCAACTGAGCCACACTGGCCTGGGCTGAAATTATTTAATCCTGTATCGCTTTTCCACAAATTGGGTATAGGTGTCCTTGTTTTGCAAATTATGTAATGGCCACTTGCCTGTACTGAGAAACTATGGTCCAGTAAATTAAACACTTCAGTTCATAAATGCTATGACATGCTTGATGTGTTTCCTTTTTCCCAACTTTTCCCCTCTTTAAAAAGAGAGATCCACCTAAATAGGATGGTGGGAGAGATGAGTCAGTGACTTTAATTTGGGTCACGATCTCTCTAAATTTGTTTATTTGTAAAATGGGAATAAGACCTCATAGCACTGCTGGAGAATTAAATAAAATAATGAAGGCTAAAACTGCAAGTTTTAAAACTGCTGCATTATTCTTAACTCACTAGGAAGAAACAGAACTAGTGCCATATACAGGAACTAAGTTAAAGTGCTCTTGATATACATGGTATCAGCATACTTGAACTATTCTATTCAAAGAAACACATCTCTATTTATTGAGAAGTAGAATAACTAGTTTTTTAACCTTTGAACCTACAGACAGTAAATAAAAGTGTCTAACAAGTAGAGCAGGATATCAGAAGCAATCTACCCTATTACCTCAGACCCAAAGGTAAAACCAAGAACACAATACAGCCATCTTTCAATTGACTAGGTTATCCACTCAGTGAATTACTTAAGCCTGGGTTGGCAAATAGAGTTCACCTGCCTGCCAAACCTCAGTGATTCCTAACACTTGCCTGGAGTACTGTGTTAGAGGATGGTTGAGTCCATATCCAGACTCAGAAAAAGAGTGTCTAACCGATTAGGAATATCTAACAGAGGTTTGAGAGTGGGGGGAAGTATCTGCTTTCTCTGATGGCCATTTAATTCTCCCTATCTGATCTTTCATTATTTTGTTCCTCATTAGCATTTCCAACAGATAATTATAATTTGTTAGCTGCTTAAGCAAAAGCCTTAGGAAAGAGGTTGGAATTACTGGTTGAGGCACTAATGGGGTTGATCAGTACTTACTAAATGAACATAAACCCTGCAAAGTATGGTATGGATTTACATATGTCGTCCCAACAGCATAAACAGTAATACTATATACCTAAGAATTCTATACAATGAATCTTAGACAAAAGTAATTTAATTAGTCTTTATATGGAAATTGTCTGCATTTTGGAAGCAATAAGAACCCTATCTTGAATACAGCTATTCAAACAGAAAGAAATACTACAATGAAAACTTGGATAGATCTTAAATAGAGAGTAGTTGTATAAGCCACCAATCAAAGAGTAGAATTGAGCATAAGGTTTGAAGTTAGACCTAGATTTAAAACTGCCCCTGTCCGTTAGCAGCTGGATTACCCTTTGTAAAATTTCTTTTTTAAATTTTATTCCTCATTTGAGAATATTTTTCTGTTTATCATTAGACAGAGTAGGAGGGAGGGAGAGAGAGAGAGACAGAGAAACATCGATAAGAGAGAGACACATCAACTGGTTGCCTTCCACATGACCTGACCAGGGCCAGAGATGAACTGCAACCGAGGTATGTGCCCTTGACTGGAATCGAACCCACAACTCATTGGTCTGTGGGCCAATGCTCTACCCGCTAAGCCAAACTGGCCAGGGCCCTTTATAAAATTTAACATCTCTGAGTCGTTTTTTGTGTGGGTTTAGATGGGATGAAGTGTGTTAATTGTCATGTAGTAACTGACTCTCCCCAATCTTGTATGGCCATAACAAGCAATGACTATGCGGCATCTCATTATTCTTTATGAAATATTTTTGGAGGGAAGAAAGCACCCCTTACTGATACTAAATAAGTGTGAAATCAACATTCCCTTTTTGTCCTTCTACCTGTTCTAGGTTTCTCATTCTCCATCACCAACCCTCTTGAGGTCACGAAGAGAGGCTAAGAATTTCTGTAATGACTCAGAGCAAGGGTTAGTGGAGCTAAGGGAAGCTCTTGGGCAGGGTCCTTGAGAGAAGAACTTTCCTGCCTTGGGAAGGATGAATAATAAATGAAACTACTAAAAAGTGATGAACAATGAGTCAGTCAATCCATCATGGTATTGATATACCTGAATTACTACTCAACGAAACACATTTCTGTTATTAAAAAGTTGAATAATTAGTTTTTTTTTAAAACACCTTTGAACCCACAGACACTAAATAAAAGTGGCTGAAAGTGGAACAGGATATCTGGAACAATCTACTGTACTCACAAAACACAAATATTACAAAGAAAAAATTAGGAACCCAGCCTGTGTGTACATATGGGTCTTGGTCCAAACCATCACTATTAACCAAGTAGAGCACTGTTTGCTTACCGCAAAAGAGATGTCCACAGTTTGTTTCCACAGGGAAGGAGGCTTGATGTAAACAGATTGGACAGTACATATCAGTATAGTACTGCTGCCGAACAGCAGCAGGTGCATCCTGATGAGAAAACGTATACACATTTATACATGACACAGAGGCTTTGCAAAATTATCTTTATGTTAAACTGTAATTAAGAATACAATCAATACTGTGTAATCCTTATCAAATTTTAAATTTGCAATAGTTTAAGGTCTTACAAGTTTGATAAAGTTATGAGGCTACATTGTTGTTTTATTTATAAACTGCATGGTCTCTATCTTCCTTCTTGAACACAATTTAAAGATAAAAAACCTAGCCTGGCTGGTGTGGCTCACTGGTTGAGCATCGACTCATGCACCAATAGGTCGCCAGTTCAATTCCGGCCAAGGCACAAGCCCAGGTTGTGGGCCAAATCACTAGTGGGGGGCATGCAGGGGGTGGCCAATTGATATTCTCTTTCATTGATGTTTCTATCTCTCTCTCCCTCTCCTTTCCTCTCTCTCTAAAATCAATAAAGAAAAAAAAAGTTTAAAAAAAGACTAAAAACCTTGACTAACTCAGGAGTTTCTCTTTTACTCCATTAGAATGAGTAAGTTTTTTTGAGTAACACAAAGCTGAGCTAATGCACAACTGAAGAATAAGAGCTGTCACACTGTTTCCGAAGTATTAGCTTTTTTTTCATTTTTATCTTTTTCATTCATACATTCCTGACAAGTGTTTAGCTACTGAATTAATTTAGCCAAGGTCACTCCTTGATGTTACAGTCTTTTATGTCTTTTGTTGTTGTTGTTAATCCTCACCTAAGGATATTTTATCCACTGATTGTTTTTAGAGAGAGTGGAAGGGAGGGAGAAGTGGGAAAGAGGGGGGAGAGAGAGAGAGAGAGACAGAGAGAGGAGAAAGAGGAGAGAGACAGAGGGGAAACATTGATGTGAGACACATCAGTTGGTTACCTCCCTCTTGCATCCCAACTGCACCCATGGATCGAACTTGCAACCCAGGTACATGCCCTTGACTGGGAATCAAACCTGCAACCCTCCTGTGCATGGGACGATGCTCTAACCGCTGAACCACACAGGCCAGGGTTTTTATGTCTTTGTTTTCTTTTATGATTTTAGAGAGAGGAAGGTAGAGGGAGAGAGAGATAGAAACATTGATGAGAGAGAACATCGAATGACCTCCTGCATGTCCCCCACTGGGGATCTGGCCCACAACCTGGGCATGTGCCCTGTCTGAGAATTGAACCATTGACCTGTTGGTGCATAGGTCGACTCTCAACCACTGAGCCACACCCAACCGGGTGCTTTTATGTCATTTTTAATGGTGCAAAAAAAAAAAACACTTGATGTTCCTCTCTCCACCTTTTCTCTTATTATTCTTTGGAAATTAATTGATTAAAAACCAGTTACCAGTGCTGTCCAACAGAAATTTATGCAATAATGGAAACTGTCTTTGTCTGTGCTATCCAGTATGGTAGCCACTTGCTACAAGTAGCTACTGAGTGCCTACCATATAGGACAGCACAATAAAGGATAAATCACTAGCTTTATTCTAACTAGAGCTATATACCATGTGTGAGGAAGGTATGAAGTAGATGAATGGGACAGTGGTACAAAAAAACTGGAAGATCCCCTAGAGCAGCTGTTCCCAACCTGTGGGTCGCGACCCCTTTGGGGGTCGAATGACCCTTTCACAGGGGTTGCCTAAGACATAACAGTAGCAAAATTACAGTTATGAAGAAGGAACGAAAATAATTTTATGGTTCGGGGTCACCACAACATGAGGAACTGTATTAAAGGGTCGCGACATTAGGAAGGTTGAGAACCACTGCTCTAGTCTAGGACTCCTTTATATCTAAATCTAGTCATGTAATCCTAGTATGCATTTAAGCAAATCTTGGTGATATCATATATTAAATGAGAATAGTTGCCTTACTTATTATGTTTGAGGATTAAATAAGAAGAGCGTGTGAAATTATTTTGTAAATTATTAAACACTATCCCAGCATGAATTATTATTATTATTATTTTTTTATCCTCACCCGAGGACATTTTTCCATTTTTTGTACAGACAGAGTGGGAGGGAGAGAGAGGAAGAGAGAGAGAGAAACATCGATGTGAAAGGGACACATCGAGTGGCTGCCACCCGCACAACCAACCAGGGCCGGGGACAAACTGCAACCGAGGTACATGCCCTTAGCGGGAACCGAACCCAGGTCTATCCGGACCGCAGGCCGATGCTCTAACCGCTGAGCCAAACCAGCCAGGGCCCAGCATGAATTATTGATAACAATTGCTCTGGAACAGAATACTAGGATGTTAGCATCCTTAAACTATTTTGCATCAGTGAATTTAAGTTCTTGAAGCGGTAATTCTTGTGTGTTTAGTTCACAATTGGATTGCCAATTCCTAAAACACTGACTTGCAATAAATATTTGGTGAATGGATAAGTGATAAAACACTCTTTGGAATTAAGTTTGATTGGTGGGTAAGAAATAAATTTTTAAGATTTGTGTTTTTTTTTTAATGTTAGCTATCTAAACATGAAGGTGTACAATATCCTACTTAATCCAGCCTTCATAAAATATATAACATTTCTAGATTTTAGAGAGTACATCTGGTTAAAAGCAAAGAAGAGGCAGGCGAGAAACCTTTCCTCCTTTGCCTAACTAGTTTTCTTGACTTTGACCACTGAAGAAAAAGAAAAGAAAAAAAGCCACCCTTTAGAGTTATTTCTTTGTAGATCTTTGGGAAATATACGTTAGAAAGAGTAGTTTTTCCACTACATTTCATTAAAGCCAATTCGACAGTGATTATTTCCTCACAAGTAAATAATAGGAAAACTGCTGTCTTTTAAAGCAAGTTAAAAAAAAAGATGAAAACATTTGAATAGATTAAGACTAGTCATTTGCCTAATCTGAAAATACACAATCAATAGAATAACTTAAGGTAATTTAAAGCAGGAAAGAAGCCCATGTTTCCAAAAAAGTAATTTATTAATATTTCATCTACAAGGGAATAACAACATCTACTTCTTTGTTTATTTATTTATTTTCTAGTTTTACTGCTATTATTGATTTTTAAAAACATGTTTTTATTGATTTTTTTTTAGAGAGAGAGGAAGGGAAAGGGAGAGACAGAAGCATCAACTAGGTGCCTCCTGCACGTCCCACATGTGGATGGAGCCCGTAACCAGGCATGTGCCCTGATCTAGAATTGAACTGGTGACCTCTTGGTGCATGGATCGACACAACCACTGAGCCACACCAACCTGGTATAACATCTACTTCTTACATAAATGCATATATTTACATAAACAGTACCTGTTCTGTTTGAAGTTGTTCCCGAAGCACCCTTACTAGTTCTTGGTTTTCTGGGTGAATGTTTTGATGTGCATTTCTGTCGAATAAAATATAATAAACTTTGAATATAAAATACTGTCAGGTGAATCAGTTTTCTTTATGAGTCTAATTTTTGACCTAGAACTACTGGTAACTAAATAAATGTAAATGATGGTAGACAACTGCACTCCAGTTCTAGGACTAAACAGTCCAGGCTATTCTGAGGTCAATGATTATTGACTCATTTCAGGTTTAAATGGCAAATAATGAAATCCAGAGACCTAGTACCTTGGATTTAATGTAATTGCAGACTTACAAATAATAAAAGAACAATTAACATATTTAGTTCTTTTGTACAATTCCTTCAAAATAAGCAGCTATATAATTCTATATATTATTATGCACTTGAACACTTTTCCATATCTAACTAGGTCCTTCTCCCAACTTTGTACCTATGAGGGGAGGGGGACAGAGAAAAACAAAAACTAAAATTATATAATGTAGAATGCCAGACTTCCGGTCAAAATGGTGGTGTAGGTAAATACAGTATTGTGTTCTCCCACAACCACATCACAGTTACAACTAAACTACAGAACGACCATCATTCAAAGCCACCTGAAATCAAGCTGAATGGAAGTCCTACAAGTACAAAATTAAAGAAGAAGCCACATCGAGACCGGTAGGAGGGGTGGAGGCACGATGTGCTGGTCCCACACCCACGTGTGACGAATAAAAATTAGGAGGATACCTCGGCTGGGAAGGTCCTCTCTGAGGACAGAGGGGTCCCCATCCCATACCAGGCACCCCACTCAGGGTTCCAGTGCCAGGAAGAGAAGTCCTCGTTACTTCTGGCTGGAAAACCCAGCAGGAACTGAGGCTCAGGGAGGCTGAGGCAGCTGGAGCCCCAGGCAGCTCTTCTTAAAGGGCCCGCTCATGGACTTACTTGGACTCTCTCCCTCTAAGCTATGAGGAGAGGCAGCTTGAGGGGCGCCAGAGACACAGGGAAGAACTGAGCTGTTTGGCCTCCGGCTGGAGAGGTGGCTTTCTCCTGGACAGATGTGCCGTCAGAGGCCTTTGTTCCTTTGGTGAGCCCTTCCCTGAAGCAGCAGACAGCCGCCATATATGGGACCCCAGCAACCTGGCTCACACTGTTTGCCCTGCCCTGGTGATTCTCTGAGGCTCTGCCCCACCCAACATTCAGGCCCACCCACACTGTTGCCAGTTGCTTAACCATAGGATTGGCCTGTCCTGGATCCTGCTTCAGGTTTTCCTAAATTCTTTCAAACAAGCAGCATCTGGTCTCAACTAGCTCCATACCTCTCATTAAGTAATACACAGAAATAAACACAGGGAGGCAGCCAAAATGAGGAGACAAAGAAACAGGTCCCAAATGAAAGAACAGAACAAAACTCCAGGAAAAGAACGAAGCAAAATGGAGATAAGCAACCTAACAGATCCAGAGTTCAAAACACTGCTTTAAGGATGCTCAATGAACTTAGTGAGAACTTAAATGAACTTCGTGAGGGCCTCAAGAGCATAAAAAAGGACAAGTCAGAAATCAAGGAGGCACTAATTGAAATAAAGTATAATTTACACAGATTCAATAGTAGAGTAGGTAAAGCCAAGAAGCAAATCATCGATTTGGAATATAAGGAACCAAAAAACATCCAATCAGAACAGCAAAAAGAAAAAAGAATCCAAAATAATGAGGATAATGTAAGGAACCTCTGGGACAACTTCAAGCGTGCCAACATTCGCATCTTGGGGGTGCCAGAAGGAGAAGAGAGAAAACAAGAAATCGAAAACCTATTTGAAACAATAATGGCAAAAAACTTCCCTAACTTGGTAAAGGAAACAGACATACAAGTCCAGGATGCACAAAGAACACCAAACAACATGAACCCCAAGAGGTCCACACCAAGACACATCATTATCAAAATGCAAAACGTTCAAGACCGAGAGAATCTTAAAAGCAGCAAGAGAAAAGCAGTTAGTTACCTACAAGGGAGTTCCCATAAGACTGTCAGCTGATTTCTCAAAAGAAACTTTGCAGGCCAGAAGGGAGTGGCAAGAAATATTCAGAGTGATGAAAAGCAAGAACCTACAACCAAGATTACTCTATCCTGCAAAGCTGCCATTTAGAATCGATGGCCACATAAAGAGTTTCCCAGACAAGGAAAAGCTAAAGGAGTTCATCACCACCGTTTTTATATGAAATGTTGAAGGGTCTTCTTGAAGAAAAAGATAAAAAATATGAACAAACAAAATGGCAATGAAGCCCTGGCCAGTTTGGCTCAGCGGTTAGAGCGTCGGCCTGCGGTCCGGAGATGGCAATGAATACATATCTATTGACAATTGAATCTACAAACAAAATGAACAAGCAGAACAGAAACATTCTCATAGATACAGAGAACATTTTGTTGGTTGCCAGATGGGAGGGGGTTTGGGGAAAGGGTGAAAAAGGTGAAGGGATTAAGAAGTACAAATTGGTTGTTAGATTGACAAACCTCAAAGGGAAAGGGGTTTGGGGGGTGGGAAGAAATAAACCAAAGAACTTATATGCATAACCGGTGGACACAGACAACAGTGTGGGGAAAGGCAGGAGGGGGGCGGGAGTGGGGAGGAGGGGGTGAATGGGGGAAAAATGAGGAACATCTGTTATATATTCAACAATAAAGATAAGTTTAAAAATAAATAAATAAATAAAATGTAGAATGCCAAAAGCTAACACACCACTAATATCTTAACATTAACAATCAAACTGGAGAATTAAAGGCAAGAAGATAGTGATTGATATAACAGGATAGGATAAGACATGTGAGTATTGAAAATTAGAAGTGCTTAGGTCAGTAGAGTGGGGGTGAAGATTTACATCTAAATCATGGCTTAATTTCATTTGACTGTAAAAAATTTCTTCTAAGCTGAAAACTCTTTTAACAGCAATATTTTAAATCCACATAATTCTGGTGTTACTCTATAAAGGAACCTTTACTCTCTGGGTGTATCAATACCCAACACCAATAAGAATTCTACATTAATATTCTAATGGGATAGGAAAAAATAAAGAAATCTATCCTATGATGATTCAATTTTTAGTAAAAATATTCAAATTTTAGAAAAGAAAGCTGACGAAATATAACCATCAGTTCAGAGAGGACATTAAAACAATTTAAAGTCAAATATCTAATCAGAAGTTCAATATAAATGTAATGAAACTACAGAAAACCCTTGATTTTGTGGACCATGATTTAATGGACTTCAGAGTTAACGAACAAAATTTCCGGTCCATATGCCATATGTGAAAAATTAACATCCTGTTCATTTTAAAATGCTATCAATCAAGATTTGCTTATAATTAAATTAACAGGTTATTTTTTTGTTGTTAACTCACTGTTACTTTTAACAAATTTTAGCAAATAGGCCATTGAAAAAAACACTGTAGTAATTTTGGTGACATAAATAAATATTACACATCTACAACTATAGTCTACATATTTAAAACCAAGAGTTACCACTTGTAAACAATGTTCAGCAAATGATTAGCATGTGATCACACCACATTGAGAGTGATAACTGGTTCTGTTGCAGGGTGACATGGCTTGATTCTCAGCAGATATTTCAATGTGTGCTAAGCCACACCCCAGGTGTGTGCATTTGTTTACTCTCTGTGACTGGTGAATGCAAGTCTTTACTAGACCTATTCAGTATAAATTTAAAATGAACACATATTGAAAATATATACTCTGTGAAATTAAACTTTTCATACATATTTAATTTTAATCACACAAATGTGTTTACATAAGTAAAAACAGATAAATTAACTAATTTTTCAATTTTTTTTTTTTTTCGTACATGCCCCTAGCGGGAACTCTGGGACTCTCTGGTCTGTAGGCCGATGCTCTAACTGCTGTGCCAAACTGGCCAGGGCTAATTTTTCAATTTTTTAACATACACATTTGGAAACCTACTTTATTATATAATGGACTTTCCACTTTAATGGACCACCCCTCGCCAGAATTACGTTTTACTGAATGTCTATCAATATATGTATATAGATATATATGCTGTATGTATATATATATCTATAGGAATATATATATCTATATATCTATCTATATCTACCTCTCTCTCTCCAAGTGTTAACACTTAAATTTCTAGTTTATTACCTAGTCTGTGTATTGGTATATACCAGCAATTTTCAACCTTTTTCATCTCATGGCATGAATGAACTAATTACTAAAATTCTTCAGCACACCAAAAAATATATTGTATTTTTTGCCAATCTGACAAAAAAAATAGGTATGATTTTGATTCATTCACACCGGATGGCTATTGTTGTGTTGGCTGTTGTCATTTTTTCTTTATTGATTTGAGAGAGCGAGGAAAGGAGAGGGAGAGAGAGAAACATCAATGAGAGAGAACATCGATTGGCTGCCTCCTCCATGCCCCCCACTGGGGATTGTGCTCACAACCTGGGCATGTGCCCTGACCAAGAACTGAACTGGCGACCTCTTGGTGCACGGGTTGAGGCTCAACCGCTGAGCCACACCGGCCGGGCTATTGTCATTTTTTTATTTGACAATCTAAGGGAAAAGAGGTCAGTGTCCTTTATTAAATAGTCAGGTACTGCATGTTTTAAAAAGTCTTGTGGCACACTGGTTGAAAATCACTGGCATCTGAGACTTTTAAGTATTATTTCTGATTCTATAACAGTAATTTTAATTCTAACCTAAATTCCCACTATACTGTACAAGGGTATCTTTTTTTTTGCCTTAGTTTTCCATCTAAACACTGAAAATACTTTGTGTTTATTCTATCACCTACAAGCTGATGGATTCAATTATGAAAATTACATTTTCAAATTCTGATACTCCTATAGAAAATATTTCATTCTAAATATGGATAATAAATTTAAATGTTATCTGATAAGACAGTTGAGTCAAGAGAAATGTATGGTAGCATTTAGGGCCTAGTGGAAAATAAGATACCTTAGTAAATATATACAATCACTGAGATCTATTACACGCTTTACTTATTAAGTATTAAGCATCACTAGAAGCAGTCAGAAAGTCAGTGGTCCTTGGAAATATATATTATTTTAATTTTTTTATCCTTTAGTCTCACCTGAAAAGTGCATATACCAGGGTAGCAATCAAAGCGAAACTGACCACAACTGCCACAAGTACTTGGTCACTTACTCCTTCTATGACGGAATCATCATCCAGTTTCAAACTTTGAACTTCACCCTGATATTTGGCCATTCCAGGTCTAAGAGATAAAAAAATAAAATGGAAGTTACAAATGACACAGTGAAAAGAAAATATACTAATAAAAAATATAAATATAACTGACTTCTAATATATTTAATTTTTTTTTGTAGTACCCTTAAAGTAGGTTGTATTAAGTACAATTCCAGTGTGGATTGCCCCATTAATGAGTTATTTAAAATTTGCCTGACATTATTTTGGAAAGTACAGAATTGTATTTCCTTTAAGGAAAACAATTACTATAATGTATCATTCATTTACTTTTTTTTTAAACAAAAATTTTTATTTATTTTTTAATCCTCACCTGAAGACTTTTTTTTTTTTTTTTCATTTATCTTCAGATAGAGCGGAAGGGAGAGAGGGAGGAAGAGAAAGAGAGAAACATTGATGTGAGAGAGACACATCAACTGGTTGCCACCCACACGACCCCAACTCGGGCAGGGGACAAATTGCAACTAAGGTACATGCCCTCAGCGGGAACTGAACCCGGGACTCTCTGGTCTGTGGGCCAACGCTCTAACCACGGAGCCAAACTGGTCAGGGCTAAAACAAAAATTTTTTAAAATACCCTTTTCTCTTCAAGCTTAGCTCCTTTAATTTTACTAAAAAAAGACATTCCTCATGCCCAACTGCTCTTTTCTTATTCTTGAATATCTAATAAACTCTCCAAGTAGATCGGATCCCTCTTCGCCCTCATAGTACTAAATGTACATCATAGAATTTAAACTGTATGGATAGGGAAGGAGATATTATCTTTTCTGTACATATATTACCTACCATAGTGCCCTGTACACAGTAGTACCTAATAATATATGCCTAAATAAGAGTGACTTATGTTACTTATAGTGTTAGTAATTTGAAAAGTAAAAGACAACAAGGCTATAGAACATTTATATCTATACTAAAACTACTTGAATTAATAAAAATTCTGGTGCTTAAAAAATTATTAGTCTTACCTGGGATTAAGCTCAGCTAATGGTTCAGAATTTGAACTGCCTGGAATATGGAATCAATCGCTCTCAGGCTGCATCTCCTCATGAAGAGAAAAGGGAGGATATGAAATTCCTTCCCAAACTAAAGAGAAATGGCAATATCCAATTTCTATAGGCATAAAGGGAGAGAGCCCAACCACATCAGAGGTAACTCATATGTTTTTCAGATGGCAAAACAGTACAGTTCAACACTTATAAGACACCTAAATGGAAAGAAAGGAGATAAATACATATGACTATTTATAATTAAAATAAAATTCTGTATTTTTGTAACTTACTGCACTGAAAAGAGTTTTATTCAATATCATTAATCAGGGGAGTCTCTGTGAAGAGGAATCTTTGAGTGTGGAAGTCTAAGACCTTTGAAAGAATCTGAACAGGCTGCTTGTAAGAAAATTACCTCTCATTGAAGAAACTTAAGCAAACAGATCAAAGGCGGCTTTCATCAGCTTTACACATAGTAATGGCCTGATATATGAGGAACTTTCTAATGACAGGTTTCAAACATCCATGATGAAGGCTCATACCAGGAAACTCAGAGAAAAGAGCCTTAACGTCAGTATTTTTATCCAAAAGAGCAAATGAACTGCCAACTGAAACGGAAGAAAGAATCTAGGGGTGGGCCATGTAGTCAATTTAGATTTTTATTTATCAGATTTCTTCTTTTTAAATAAGAGATGCTATAGCCCTGTCAAAAGGCCTAAGAGTAGTGAGGACAACTTGCATCTGCTCAAAGATAATCAAACTATTATTCCCTGTGTTGAGATTTCCAGCCTCTAATTACAGAATTGAATTATTTCACAGAGTTCTGAGGATTTTCTCCTATGCTATACATTTAGGGAGTTAACTTCTTTGTACTTTTTTTTTTTTTTTAACGCATTACATTTGTTTCTATGTCCTTCCAGGTGTAATCAGTGGCAATGTGACTAAATTCCACTGTACTAATTATATATATAGATTCATTCTAATATATATATTAGAATATACATATACATATATATATATGACTTCTACATAATTAATCCCTAAAGATACTGCTTCATGAACACTTTTAAGAGCTCAGAGATTCAGGATACGTTAAGTACACTGTACAGCCATATAATGTTATTTGTTATTTTATAGCAGAAGTTCCCAATGTTGCTGAAATGAAGAGTTATTTTATATTTCCACAAATTCCAGCATCACCAAAGGAGGTGCTTGGGCTGAGAAAGAGCAGGATGGGAGACTGCTGATAAATTTCTGAGGAACAAGAGAGGTCAGTTGCACTCCCCTGCCATGTGGAAATCCTAGCTAAACCTAGGGGTTCTCACATGGAAAACTAATGATGACTGACCTACTTGTTGGGGGCTTCAAGAGTTCAACTTCTGCCAGTAGTTTCACTTGTCATCAGAGGATAAAACAGGAACTGTAGGAGCTAGTGGCTAAGAAATGAGGTATAATACCACCTCAGTTTGGAAAGAGGCCAATCTAAGATTACAGGGGATAAACAACAAAAAGAAAATTTTCTACTTGAGGAGATGACAATACATCTCAATCTTGCAAATGAATTCTAAAGTAGATCTGAAGCTCAGTTATCCAACTTTTGCTTTTCACAGTCAGTTTTTATCTAGGACAGAACAATGTTATTGATTGTGTCCAACATCACAGGCTCTCAACTGAAGCCCAAGCATGCCTGGAGTTTAGCTCCAATTCTGCTACTACAACTGTGACCCCATTTAATCTTGCAGGATCTCTCATTTACTGCAAAATGTAAAAGCTGGATCTGAGGTTTCCTTAAGTTCTTTCCATCACTACATTTCTTTGACCCAGAGTTTTCTGCAATAGAAAAACAAAATCAGGAAAGATAAATACCGAAGGTTAAAGGCACTACAAGTGGGAAGCAGGAGTGGAAGAGCCAGATCTTAATCTTTTCCTGGAAGAGCCAGATCTTAATCTTTCCCAGGATACAGTTTTATAGTTTAAATTCTTTTCAAGGACATATTACTTTAACAATAAAAATAAAAGCCAGTGCCTGTTTGCTCCCCTGAAAGATGAAAATTAGGCTTCAGTGCTCAGATTTTAAATGTCTGTCTCCAGTCTCATTCTTACCTACCACCTGTTTCTTCATGGTGTCTTATAAAGATCTCAGTGAGTGCTCTGGGAGGCATGAACATTCATTACATCTCATTCCCGTGAGCAGTGCACAGGGAATATTACATGTTATAGGGGCCACTAAATGCAGCTTACTTCAAACTCAGAAACAAAGTTATTAAATTTATAGAACATGGTATCTTAATCTATTTAATACGGTCCTGTCAAATATAAAAATGTGTGACTAATACTGTTATTAACTATTTGAAATTTACAGAAACAAAACACCATACATCTTGGAATCTGTGCTGATAATTGATAGAATAATTATAGAAGCAGAACTGGTTTCTCACTTTGGCTTTGTTATTGCTTAGCTGGGTAAGTCTTTTTTTTTTTTCTTTTTAATATGTTTTTATTAATTTTTTTAGAGAGGAAGAGTGAGAGAGAAATATCGATGTAAGAGATCAGTAGCCTCCTGCACACCCCCTACTGGGGATCAAGCCCAAAACCCAGGCATGTGCCCTGACCTGGAATCAAACCGGGACCTCAGTCCATGGAATGACACTCAATCCACTGAGCCACATCGGCTGGGCTTAGCTGGCTTAGTCTTAATGAGGACTACCTTAATATATCAAAGAAGCATAAGCTTTGGAGTCAGACATCTGTATACTTACGTAAAATCTGGGCCTCAGCTTCCTTATATGTAAAATACATAGTATTAATTTGAACCATATCAAACTGCTACTTTTTGGCAAAAAAAAGCGTTGTTTTATGAAATTTAGGGAATAATGAAGAAAAAATATTTGCTTGACACATCATATAGGCTTTCTGTAAATGGAAGCCATATATTTTTTTTTTCTTTTTCTTTCTTCATTTCTCACCCAAGGACACAATTTTTAGAGAGAGGAGAAGGGAAAGAGAGAAAGAGAGAGGGAGAGAAACACTGATCGGTTGCCTCCCCACATGGACCCCTGACTGGGGCCGGGAATTAAACTGGCAAGCTAAGTATGTGCTCCAACTGGAATTGAACTCTCAACCCCTCAGTATACGGGACAATGTTCCCACCCACTGAACCACACCAGCCAGGGCAAAGCTAGAATATTTTTATTATTATTAACAAATGTCAGGGAATCAGCAGAACTATGATAAAACTTAGCCACATCTTTCCCATAGCTGCATTGTGTAACATCTCAAACTCTCCTTAATCAAAGCTCTAAGTATGTATTCCCTGGGAAAACAGGATAAATTTGGGAACATTGCCATGCAGGGCACCAACATGTTTACTTGAATGTGATAAACAGCTATAGATAAGAACTAGCCTCCAACTAACTGGAGTAAGGAGATGGCTAAGATAAGTTCCACTCACCTCTCTTTGATCTTTTCCAAGGTTTTCAGAAAATACACACACACGAAAATAAGCGAAATATAGGAAATTCCATAACTTCAAAGGATAAACTCATTATCTTTGTACCCAAGCTCATGTAGGAACATGGCTTCGGCAGATAATTACTGGTGTCCAAGAAGCTTTTAAAACAATTTCCTTCATGGAGGGTAATTGGAGCTATACAATGGAACTTCAAGAACACTGCATTATCATGCACAAATGCATGGGAATGAGCAGTCTGGTATGTAAAAGGAGGTTTAAGTCAATTGTGTCAAGCCTTGAAAACTTGCATAACTAGAGTTCAGGGGCTCACTACACCATAGTCCTTCCAGAAAATGCTAGCATCTTGTTCTCCTCCACATCTGACCACAAGTTACAGGAGAGTCAGGCTCACCTACTGACTTTGCATGCCTAACAAGGGTAATGGTCAGGCCACTTAAAGTGCAAGGGATTCTACAAAACAACCTACAATGGAATGTAGGAACTCTGGTTTGACAAAGATCCACAAGGTACTAAAGGAAACAAAGGCAGGTGATTTACATATTTATCATTTCTCTACCCTTAGTGTAGAGAAGAAAATTTATTTATTTATTTATTTTTTTATCCTCACCCGAGGACATTTTTCCATTTTTTGTTCAGGTAGAGTGGGAGGGAGAGAGCGGAACAGAGAGAGAGAGAGAGAAACATCGATGTGAAAGGAACACCTCGAGTGGCTGCCACCCGCACGACCGACCAGGGCCGGGGACAAACTGCAACCGAGGTACACGCCCTTAGCGGGAACCGAACCCGGGTCTCTCAGGACCGCAGGCCGATGCTCTAACCGCTGAACCAAACCGGCCAGGGCATAGAGAAGAAAATTTAAAAAAAGACCACTGAGAAGACTTCAAGTAAGAATTTTTACATTCACAAAATGAAAAATCATCATACCAACTTTTAACTGGTACTCTGTAAGACATCATTAAAAAGTCAGTACCACCCTAGCCAGTGTGGGTCAGTTGGTTGGGGTGTTGTCCAGTATGCCAGAAGTATTCTTGGTCAAGGAACATATCCAGATTGCAAGTTTAATCCCCGAGGAAGGCAACCCATGGATGTCTCTCTTTCCCTTCCTCCCTTTCTAAAAAAAAAAAAAACAGTACCATCTTGATTGTTCTGAATGCTCACTAACAAAACCTACTTTTTAAAAAAAATTTCCTCCTTTATTGATTTTATAGAGAGAGGGAGAAATAGAAACATCAATGAGAGAATATGGATTGGCTGCATCCTGCATGCCCCCTCCCCCACTGGGGATTTGGCCCACATTTGAGCGTGTGTCCCAACTGGGAATTCAACTAGCCAGCTCTTGGTGCATAGGTCTACGCTCAACTACTGAGCCACACCCACCGGGCTGACAAAACCTACTTTGAGCCCTGGCCAGTTAGGATCAGCGGTGAGAGCATTGGCCTGCAGTCGGGACACCAGTGTTCCAGATAAGGGAACGTACCTCAGTTGCAATTTGTCCCCGGCCCTGGATGGGTTGTGTGGGTGGCAACTACTCGATGTGTCCCTTTCATGTGGATGTTTCTCTCTCTCTCTGTTCCTCTCTCTCCCTCCCACTCTATCTGAACAAAAAGTGAAAAAATGTCCTCGGGTGAGGATAAAAAAACAAAAACAAAAACAAAAACAAAAACACCCACTTTGAATGAGAAAAAAAGGGGCTCCAGGAACTGCAAACCAAAGTAAAGATGTGTCCTGGGAAGTTAAATTTGCCGCACTTCAAATAAAAGTTTGGTATTATCTGGTAAAGTTTGCATACCCTATGACTCAACAATTCTCCTAGGACTCTAAGGCAAGTACTCTAAAGGAACTCCTACACATTTGCACTAGTATCTAGGTTTAAGAATGCTTAGAGTATTGTCCTTAGAATCCCCAAACAGCAGAATGGAAAAAATGTCCATCAACAGCAGAATGGATAGTTATATTCATACAATGGAATAGTACACAATAAAAATTATCTACAGATATACACAAATCCAGCATTAACTCAAAGTCACACAATAATATGACCCCATTCATTAAAGTTCAAAAACAGGCAGGTAAATTATATTGTTGAGGCATGCATACCCAAGTGGTAAAGCTAAAAAAAGCCAAGTCAGTCTGGGGAGGAAATTGCGTTCAGAAGGGAATACAAGGTGTGGGTATAACTCCTGAGGCACTAGGAATTTTTTTTTTATTAATTATTCTTTAAACATGTACGTTGTATGCAATTTTCCGCATGTCATATCGCATCAAAATTTATCGGTAATCCTTCAGGGACTCACACCTCCACAAAGGTGAGAGCTCGCGGGCGATCCACCCAGCTATTAAGGACGAATGCCAACACTTAGCAGCAGGACAGTGGGAGAAAAAGGCCCTAGGAACTGTCGGGTCCTCAAGGATCAGCGAAGCGGGACACACCCTCTCCCTACTTCACCAAACTAAAGTTTTCAGAGACTAGAGTATCCACGAGGCCCAAGGAGGTTGGCGGGCTCTCCTCACCCCCGACCAAGCCCAGCTAGGAACCACCGAGACGCCCGCCACTTCAGCCCTTCCAGCGTCTCCTGGGGATTCCGGACGGGACCGGGGGACTCTGGGGCTTTGCCAAGGCTTCCTGAAGGAACGCGGAGCCCCGAGGTCCGAGGCATCGACTCCCCAGCCGCGAAGAACCTCGGGAGAGCCGAAGCGACCCAAGGGCAGTGCCGCCCACGCCGAACCCTGTCTGCAGCTTCACGGGCCCGGACCGTGGTGGGCGTGGCCAGCCGCGGCCCCGCGCCCGGGAGGGGTGGGGAAGGGGCGCGTACCTCTCCACCGCAGAGGATACCTCGCCAATTCCCGGTGAATGAGGGTAGAGATTATTTCCGGGGATGCCCCCGCCTCCCCTCCTGGGCAACCACTAGCTGTCTCTTTTCCACTTTAGAGTGCGGGGACAGGCGCACGCGCATTGCCGCGCTTCCGTGAGGACGCGCGCGCCGAGACACGCAGGGGCCGGCGTGGGGGCGCGCGCGGCAGCGGCCAGGAGGCGGGCCGGCCGGAGCGCGACTGCGCGCAGTGGCCCGTCGGCCGCGGCTCTGGCCAAGTGCTAGGGGCGGGGACGCGGGGCTGCGGGCGTGGCCGGGGGCGCGCGCAGCGGACGCGCGTCCTGAGTGAAAGGAAAGGAGGGGCACCGGGGGTGACGGTGCGGGAGCGGCTGTGAGCGTTGGACCAGAGTCGGCGGCCTGGGCCGGAGGACAAGGTGGGCAAGAGGCCAGATCCCTTTCCCAGACCCTCCGGCGTGGTCCTAGCCCGAGGGGCAGCGCTTGCTGGCGAGGTGGGAAGGCGTTGCCAAGCCCCAGCAGGGGAAGATGTTCAACGTGGAGTCGGCGGAGCGGGTGGAGCTGTGCGAGAGCCTCCTCACTTGGGTATGTGATAACCCGCGGGTCCGGGAAAGACCCCTCTCCCCCAGTTCGCCTTTCCGGGATCCCCCCCATGCTCGTCGCGGGGGGCGAGTGCCCAGGACAGTGGTGCCGTCACATCCGGGGCCTGGGGCGGGCGGAGCCGGGGAACGCCAGTGCGGGCCGCGTCTTCACCCGCGGCTGGGCGGGGGTCGGCCGGGAGCTGCCTGGGGCGGGAGGTTCGGCCTGAGATCGGAGGGAGACTTGCCGGGCTCGAGGTGTTGCCCGGTGGAGACTAATGATGGGGTGAGGGCGGCACTGTAATTAGGATTGTTTGCAGCTGATGAGGCGCTGGCGCTTCACTCTCTCGCTCCCAAGGACACCGAAGCGTTGCTTCTCTCTGGCTCCTGGGCAGCCGATAGAGGCACTCGGGACCCCCGGTTACGACGCTCCTTGCCTTTGTTGTAATGTTCACCCAGGATGAGGCACAGCCCCTTGAGGACTGAGCCAGCCCCCTGAAAAAGGAGACGTACTTTTAAGGGAGGGTAGGAAAAATACAAAAAGGCACCCAGGAACACTATTTAAAATGCGAGATGCACTTGAGCGATTAGAAAGGAAGCAGTGTGGAGGTACTTATTAAAGGTGGTGAAGATAAACAAATCTTGAAGGTATTTGGGAATTAGCAGTGGAACTCGACATTTCAGGGGCAACGTTGTGGGATTCTAATGTTAAATTACTAAACGTTTCCTAAAATCCTCACGTTTTAAAGTAAATATGTTTGATTCTGATGCCATCATTCGTGCCTTTGGAAGCCTCTTCAAGATTTGGACATAAAACCCTTGCCTGTGTGTTTCTCAAATTGTTGTGTCGGTGCTTGGGGTGTGTGTCTGTGTGTAGAGGTCAGCGCCACGGTATAAACCTAGTGCTTTTTTCTGGAGCATTCACTTTATTCAATGCTAGAAATGTTAAATATCATTCTAGAATAAAACGCTACTATATTTATGGAGGTGACTACCTCATTTGTGTTAATGTTAAAGGTAAAACACAAATGTCAAAAACATTCTTTTAGCGGTTCCTTGGGTTACAAGTTCAGGTTTCTGGAGCATAGACATCACTCTCCTGTGTGGGGCACTGGTGGAAAGGTTAGAGAAGCATTATTACCTTAGATTGGTTGTAGCAAACAATGAAAATAGTCGGTTTATGCCATGAATCAAATTATTTTGTTTTGTTTTTATCCTCACCTGAGGACATTTCTCCATTTTTTGTTCAGATAGAATGGGAGGGAGAGAGAGGAAGAGAGAGAAACATCAATGTGAGAGACACATCCACTGGTCGCCACCCACACAACCCCAACCGGGTCTGGGGACAAACTGCAACTGAGGTACGTGCCTTTAGCGGGAACCAAACTCAGGACTCTCTGGTCCACAGACCCACACTCTAACCACCAAGCCAAACTGGCTAGGGCAAATTATTGTTTTAAACAATACATACAATGGCAGAGCCTGATAATATTCATTAACTTTTGTATTAGGCCCATCTTGGGATTTCAGATTATTTGCAATAATATTAACATACAGTTTATAACTGTAATGGGTCCCAACTTAAGGCGAAGAGATGGGTTTCACTGCTATATTTTAGAGGAGAGAAAAACTGATAAGCTGCACAATGTGGCCAAGGTTTGACTAGGCAGAGGAGAGATAAAGGAAGAAATGACCACATTCTTTGATAATGTGGAAGGCATAGGTTTGGCAGAGGTTGTAAACAGAAGATTAAGGATCTTAAGATGTGTGTTTTTGAGTCCGGACAAAGTAGAGCCTTCCTCCATGCTAGAAAAAGAGGCAAGAAGGCAAAGATGAGGAAGCTAATTGAATTGGAAGTAGGGCTTCATTGTTTAAAGTCTAGAAAGAAGTGTAATGGAAACAAAGAGGTGTATTTCAAAGCCATTTGCAAGAAATGGTAGTGCAGTTATTTGAGTGAGAAATGCCAGTAAAAACAATAGAGGAAGAATTTTAGAGGGAAGTTTGAAGGGATACTAACAAGCACACACTGTGGGAGCATCTATTTAGAATCTGGGAAAAAGTCAAAACAGGTAATACAGGTTATCAACTAGAGAGAGGTCAAGGAATATGACATTGTAGAAAAGACTTTGAAATGCTACTGGAAGGCTCATCAAGCAAAATTTCTGAAGAGAAGATTAGAGATTATCAGGGACAAAGATGTGCAATTCTAAGATTTGGAAACATTTTAAAACATTGTACATTGAAATATTTCCAAACAAAGTTGAGTTTAAATGATAGGTTTGTTCTCTTTTTAGTTGTCAGTATAAAAAGCAGAATAAATGTTTATGTGGAAAATGTTTGAGGTAGCTGAAAAAGTACATTTGTAGCTCCCCTCATGTCTGGAGGCCAGATTAATTCTGAACACAATTCTAAAATTAAATGGGAGGGGAAATGTATACAATACACTTCAAAGAAAAGACTCCCATTTCCAGTAATTTACTTTATTTGACCTAAACTTATAGCCAACTTGGTTGTGTGGTTTCTTTGTACAGAGCAGTTAGAGGGTAACTGCAGCACTCAGCAAAATACAAATAGTGTCAGTAACATAGAAGATGCAAGAACTCAAAGTTCAGTTTGGGTGATTCAGTCTTTGAGTTGACAGCCTTAGATACTTCAAGAGCCTCCATGTTTAATTATTGAAGATCATAATTATGATCCTGAATCTTAAATAAGTTTATTTTAACTACATAGCATTTAGTTTGAGCTAAGAGGTATATAGTACATTTTAGAAGTTCTTCCACTAGAAATGGTAAAAATAATAAAAGCTCAGCACTTAAAGGGATAACTGTTAGTCAGTTCTGCAAAATTTATTTCTATGGAACATATCATTGCCCAAATGCTGGTTAAATTGCTGTTGTAGCAGAGGACTTACTAGCCCAAGAACCAAATGTTTTTAATTTTAATGGAAAGAGAAATGCTTATGAAAAGACAACGTATCACCCTACCAATGGAAAACATCTTAAGGTTAAATTCCAAATCCAAGTTTATGTTTCAGGCAAGTTCAGCAAGATGTGCTTGAAAATTTCCACTCTACCTCTTCTCCCCACCCTCTGAGTCAAAAATGGATTCTTACTATTAGAAAAATTTGTCCTGCCCATTACACCTGCCAAACCTAATTTCTTGAACTGTACATGAAAAGATTGCTTTTTCCTAGGTTATAGAGACTGAAAAACTAGAAAGAATCTGGGATGCTACCAGTTAATAGCAAGAAGCTAATGGAAAAAGAATCATCCCATAGGCTCAATACATTTCTTCTGGGAAACCCAGTAACATTAACATGTCCTTATAATTTTCATATTATTTATTTAACAGCCTATAAAATGCACACTAGTGTGTAAAATTAGGGAGGGTATAATTTTTATGTGGTATCTTCCCCATTCCATTCTCTGTGCTCTGCCTTAGTCCATTCTCCAACAATTTTTGTCCTCTGATGGACAAGTCAAGAAATCAGATGTGTAAAAGTTAAAGCACATATTTTTTAGAGCTTTACTCTTTTTAAAATTGGAGGTTGGTATAATGTGGTAATTAAGAATATAGGTTCTGCCTGGCCAGTGTGGCTCAGTGAATTGAGCACAGTTCCATATACTGAGAGGTCCGGGTTCGATTCTCCATCAGGGCACATGTCCCGGTTGTGGGCTTGATCCCCAGTAGGGGGAGTGCAGGAGGCAGCTGATCCATGTTTCTCTCACATCAACGTATCTCTCTCTTTCCCTTCCTCTTTCTCTTGAAAAAAAAAAGGGGAGGGGGGTATAGGTTCTGAAATTAGACCACCTGGGTTCAAATTCTGATTTTTGTTTTATACTAACTGCAGGTGACTTTTGACAAGTAATCTCACCTCTGTGTTTCAGTTGCTTTCAATTTAGAACTAAGAAGTGTCTCTTATGCTTTAGTATTGATCATCTTCATTGGAGAGCTCATTAAAACACTGAATGCTAGGCCCCATGTCCAGAGTTTGTATCTGGGCTGGGGCCTGATACTCTGCATTTCTAATAAGATTCTAGGTGATGCCATTGTTAGTCGCCTAAGGCCCTTACACTTGGAAAACCACTGCTCTACAGCAGTGTGTGTTAACCTTAGCATTATTGACAATTTGGACTGGATAATTCTTTGTTGTAGGCACTGCCTGTGTAATATAGGATGTTTAGTAGTAGCATACCTGGCTTCTGCCTGTTAGATACCAATAGCACCCACCTAGTTGTTACAAACTAAAATGTCTCATAGGGTGTAAAATTGCCCCTGGTTGAGAACCATTGCTTTAGAAATACTAATTCCAGGTGATCTCATGCTTTACTCTTCTCACATTTTTTGTCGGGGAGGGTCATGTGGAGATTGGGTGGTGTTAAAACAGCTTCTTGGAATTAAAAAAGAGGTTATGACCCTGCAGGTGGAATGTTATGCCTTAATGTAATTAGGTGCAATTATCTTTTTTTTTTTTTTTTTTAATCTTCATCTGAGGATATTTTTTCCATTTAAAATCAGATTGGGTGGGGGGAGATT